AAAAAGTTTTTTGTTTTTAAATGCAAGCTATTGACACCAGATATGAGTGAGTGGTGGCACTGGGCACCGTATCCACTGTGAGCTTAACACACCCGCTTTAAGGACACTGACTGCTATTCAATCTATAACAGTGAAAAAAGTTTTTTGTTTTTAAATCCAAGCTTTGTGTCACCAGATCTAAGTGGTGGCAATGGTCACCGTATCCACTGTTAGCGTAACACACCCTTTAGGACACTGACTGCTATTCAATCTGTAGTGAAAAGAATATTTATTTTTTAAATCCATGGTAGCGGCACTAGATCTAATTAGCGGCACTGGTCAGCGTATCCACTGTTAAGCGTAACACACACCGGCGGACGCTGGTGCTATTCCAATCTATAACAGTGAAAAAATATAATTTTTTTTAAGTCAGCTATTGTGACACCAGATCCAATTAGGTAATGCACTTGTCAAATTATCCACTGTTAAGCGTAACACGCAGCTTTAAGGACACTGACTGTAATTCAATCTATAACAGTGAAAAAGATTATTTTTTTTTTTTGATCCAGCTATTGTGACACCAGATCTAAGTGGTGGCACTGGTCACCGTATCCACTGTTAGCGTAACACACCCGCTTTAAGGACACTGACTGCTATTCAATCTATAGCGGTGAAAAAAGTGTTTTTTGTTTTTAAATCCAAGCTTTGTGTCACCAGATCTAAGTGGTGGCACTGGTCACCGTATCCACTGTTAGCGTAACACACCCGCTTTAAGGACTTTGACTGCTATTCAATCTATAACAGTGAAAAAAGTGTTTTTTGTTTTTAAATACAAGCTTTGTGTCACCAGATCTAAGTGGTGGCACTGGTCACCGTATCCACTGTTAGCGTAACACACCCGCTTTAAGGACACTGACTGCTATTCAATCTATAACAGTGAAAAAAGTTTTTGTTTTAAATCCAAGCTGACATGACACAGATATAAGTGCCGGTGCGTTATATACATATTGGCGTAACACACCAGCTTTAAGGACACTTTGGCTGCTATTCAATCTATAACAGTAAAAAGGATTTTTTTTGCCCAGCGACGCAAGTGCTTAATTGGTGGCTTTGACTGAAATGGGCACAGTATGCACTGTGAGCCTGACACAGAAGCTGGCAGCAGTGGCAGACAACTGACTGCTATTCAATCTATAACAGTGAAAAAAGTTTTTTGTTTTTAAATCCAAGCTATTGTGACACCAGATGTAAGTGGTGGCACTGACTGGGGAAATGGCACAGTATGCACTGTGAGCCTGACACAGAAGCTGGCAGCAGTGGCAGACAACTAAGTGCATTTACATTACATAGAAAAAAAAAATAAAAAAAAAGCATACCCTTATCCCTAACCTAGCTATGCTTTTCCCTATCTTATGAACAGCAGCTACACTTTCCCTCCTCTTACTAAGCATGCAGCTTGAGAATGAATCTAAAATGGATGCTGTCCAGTAGGTGGGAGGGTCTGCTAGGGAGGCTGTGCTGCTAATTGGCTGGAATGTGTCTGCTGACTGTGAGGTACAGGGTCAAAGTTTACTCAATGATGACGAATAGGGGGCGGGTCGAACCGCGCATATGTTCGCCCGCCGTGGCGAACTCGAACATGCTATGTTCGCCAGGAACCGTTCGCCAGCGAACCGTTCGGTACATCACTAGTCTACACCCTCAGGTCAACTCTTAGTATCATACGTTAGACCACATGTTCCTATTACATCAACCACCCTAGCGAGATGGGTTCGATGGTTACTATCGCTAGCCGGCGTGGACACTACATTCGGAGCCCACTCCGTACGCGGAGCAGCAGCATCCTCAGCCTTCATGGCGGGTTCCTCCATAACGGATATCCTACACTCCGCGGATTGGTCTAGAGAATCTACGTTCCGCACCTTCTACTTCCGACCGAACTCCGGTGCGGCCATGTCTCTTATACAACAGCGTTAAAAATGCAAAATAGGAAGCCTCATGTCATGTGATAAAATTGAAGATTATGCTAGCATTATTGTACTTATAATCTTAATTTTAGTAATGACAGGAGGCGAGTATTTTCCCACCCTTCCCACCCGGAGAGGAGGGGAACTACTCTATTCATTCAGCTACTACTGTCTCCATTTTTCTTCTTTTTCAGTCAACCAACATGTTGGCATATTGTATCCTCTATTACCATCAGCCTATCTATCTACTGTTAGACTATTCTCTGAATTCATAATATATACTGTTTCAATGCTATCCGATGGATCAATACCTATATCACAAACAGTTGCCAGACCGGTGCCTAACCTTCTCACATTCTCATTTCAGTTTAACTTTGTTTCATCCTGCAACTTCTGCGGCATAATCATTGGACTACGGTTCTTCAGATAAAGACCACGCCTTCTATCGGTCAACTTCCATCACCCGTTGGTGCCGGTTCCCACTCATGCCAAGAAGTTCATCTTTCCAGTTGGATACCACAGTTGATGTTTACTACAGACTTTATCGCTACCTTCTTCCCTGTTCCGATGTCGCTTCTGAAAGAGGAGGAGGAGCCTATTTGCTGGGATGACATGCTCCCTATTTGCATTTTGATTGGTTTAAATGTTTCACTTTCTTTACTGCTATGGAGTTTAGTAAAGAGAGTTATGCAAAATACTCGCCTCCTGTCATTACTAAAATTAAGATTATAAGTACACTAACGCTAGCATAATCTTCAATTTTTATAACACCCATATAATACTCACAATTAAATTGATACAAAGAGGGAGCTATCCGGAGTGACAAGGCATCCTAGCCAAAGGAAATTTTAAAAATAGTAAATATAATTTCACAATTGTACAGAACATATAGGAACCAAGTAAATTCTAATGTACTTTTCTGTCCGTTTCAAAGAAAAATCGACTGAGTTAGTCAAGACTCAATAATGCTAAATCAATTATATTTTCCAGGAAACGAATTGGGGCAACCATCAGTCATTGTAAAATACGTTCTTGACATACACTCTAGGGTTTTATCTTAAGGATGCAAATATGCAACAGAGGTTGTCACTCTGGGAATCCGCATTCTATTCATGTAGCTTCCTTCACATGTATCTTAAGGATGACACGCAATGTGCCTTTAACCTGTGGTCTGATGTATAAAACAAATAGAAATCTTGATAGACATCTAATATGACCTTTGAGAATCATACAGCATAGTTCAATTCACATCTTGACATTGTAAATATACTTGCAATTTAAACTGCTTCAAACTAAACACCACTATTTTTTCCTTTAAATTTCTTCTATAAGCTCATTTCAAAGATATCACTATGTGTATCTACTTCAAATTAATATAATATACTTAAACACGTAAACGATGATTTTTTTTAATATAATATTTTCATCAAACATTGAAAGTAGAAATATATTTTTTTAAATTAAATATATATGAACAAAATGTGGAAAACTGATTCCTACTTTTAGCATTTGAAAGGATACTTCAGCCATTGGGTCGGATAGTGTTTGAAAGCAGTCTTCCCTGCTTCTGTGCTCAGAGTGAAGCAGGGAAAATCATAATAGACACTTGATGTTGGAGATGAGTGTGATTAATATTCCACACATGGAATCCTCCTGGGATCCAGTTGACACAACATGGTTGCTTTTACGCACAGGGGTAAAGTGGGACCCTGGTCCTAGAGGATAAAGGTAAGGCTACAGTAGAGTTGTGGTGGAAGATTAGCAAATGTCCATTTGGTCTGGTGTCTATAGCCGCCCCCTGCAGGCTTTTCACTGTAACTGCTGCCATTTTGGAGAAAATGCAGTGTTCACATTCATGCCTAGTAACACACCTAGTG